CGTTTACAAAGAGCGGTTCTTTGCAGGAATTTATCTGTGAGAGGAGAGAGAGAGAGAGAGAGAGAGAGAGAGAGAGAGAGAGAGAAGAAAGGGGGGGGGGCGGGGGCCGCGACCGGCCTGCCCGGAGCTTATCAAAACACGGTGTGGCGTAGTGTAGCGTGGTGGCCGAGGTGCACTGCTGGGCCGTGGAGCAATAGGCCATGGCCAGCCAAGTGCCCTTCAAAGCCCCCCCCCCTACCCCCCTCTCCTCCTCCTCCTCCCAGTGCACCACCCCACTCGCCGCCGGACTCGCCGCAGGATTCGCGCCCTCAGTGTGCTATCAGTGTGCTATCAGCAGGCCGAGCGGGGCTGCCGTCGCTCTGTCTCTCTCCCACTGAAACGGGACGCCCCGTTAGTTAGAGAAAGACAGCCTCCTCTCGGAATTAGTCCACTGCGAGAAAAAGGAACGGACCGAGGGGGCTCTCTGTCTGCGGACATGATTCCGTTCACTATGATGAAAATTGGCCATGTTATGGTGAAAATTAGCCATGTTATGGTGAAAATTCTTCATATTATGGTGAAAGTACGCCATATTATGGTAAAAATTCCCCATATTATGAAGAAATTCTCCATATTTTGTTAAAAAATTTCCACAATGATGTAGAAAAGTCGCCCTACGTATTATGGTGTTAATTCGACACATCATGGTGAAAATTCGATATATTATGGTGAAAATTATCGTCGGTATTTTCAGCACATTTTCTGATTTTGAGGGTGGCTTCATTGAGCTTTCCCTTTACTTTTCAGTGTACGTGAGTGACTGACCGCCGCCCTTGTCTGTTGCAGGCTGTGAGGCCGCGCTGCAGGGGCGAGCTGCACGGCGCCTGAATGTGCCGGTGCTGGCTGGTGGTGGCCAGCCAAGGGGGGCAGGCCCGGCAGGCCCGGCAGGCCCGGCAGGCCCGGCAGGCCCGGCAGGCCCGGCGGGCCCGGCAGGCCGTGGGGCAGCGGGAGGAGGGTAGTCGCTCCAACATGAGTCGGCTAGGATGTACGTCCTCTTCCCCGCGGAAGAGATAGTCCTCGGTCCACGCCCCTCCCGGCAGCGCTTCGCGTCTCAGGCGTCGCAGGCCAGCCTGTGCCGCTACCACCGCCACCTCTACGAGCAGCAGCTGCAGGCCAGCCAGCCCTTCCCGCAGGACGTCGTCCTCCAGGAGCTAGCGCGCGGTGAGTGCCACGCTGTGAAAGAAAACTAAATTGGAAAATCCCGGAAAACCAAATTCTGGGTGTACCAACGAAAACCAACAATATTACTAACAATACTAATCAAAACAACTAATTATCATAACCGCAGTATCAGTACAGACTAAATTAACTTGTGGGTTATTTTTTGGCATAGTTCTGCTCCAAATTGATCATAAGTTTTCAAAATGTGCGTTTATCCGCTTAAATTCGTGCATTTCAAGCGTATGCTCTATTCCGCGCCAAGGATATGCACAATAAAAAAAAGGAAAAAAAAAAACGACTTTATAGTAATTTACTGTATAGATGCCCAGATTAGACTCTTCCGCCAAAATCGGGACGCACTCCTCTGCTGTATGAGGCTTCTATCGGAATTGTCTCGTTCCATTTCTCTCCCTCTCAGGCGGCTCACTCTATTTTTCTGACCCCTCTTCCCGTCTAACTGTTGGCCTCGCGGACTAACGGCATGTTTGTCATTTCCAGGGTAGTTGCTCGTCGGATGTCGCCATAAAAGAGGCAAAAGAGGACAGGTACGGAACGGAGGTACAGTGTAGGCATGCGCTAGTGCACTCTAGCCTTATTTCTCAGGCATCGGTCTTTCTCCGTCGCACTTGCTTATTGCTCACCCGGTTCTTCAGCGCCACACACATGTTATGTACAATTTTGTACGAGACATCACAGTTTTTTGTGCACACGAACTTTGCAAAACTGCACATTTTTTGTACAAAATTGTACAAAATTTGGTACAAATTTGTAGTGAAAGTTCGTCGCTTTTCTCTTTTCTCCCTGCACAACGGAGTTTTTCAAAAAGTGGCTTGTTAGTACACCGTTCACCGCGCAGGATAAAAGGGCCTTGTATAATGTCGTTTTTGTGTCGACGAATAAGGCCTGCCACCGCGAGGCTGTTGGTGAAATGGCTTTCACCATGTGTCACACGTTGGTCGCTGGTAGAGCGCTGTCCTGGTGACAGGTGGCATTTTCGCGTACCAAATATGTATGTTTGTGTGTATGTGTGTGTGTGTGTGTGTGTTTGAGCGCGCGTGTGTGTGTGTGTGAATGTATGCGAATGCGTGTCAAGTTTACCGCGGCCGTGGGTCTGGAGTGGGGTACGGAGGGTCCCATGATACTTGTCCTTCAACACAGGCGTGGACAGGTGGCTCCTCACTGTTAAAAAGGAATGTTGAGACGAATCATGAGAGGAATTATGGATGAGGTCGCGTGTACATTTAACCAACTCCATTCGTTTTCCTCCCTACCCCCCCCCCCCTCTCTCTCTTCTCTCTCTCTCTCTCCTTCTCTCGCGAGCGTTATTCGGTTGGTTTGCGCTAATTTTACGAGCCGGCTCGCCTTTTCGGCGGCGGTGCGGGCGGTGCGCACACTGTGTGCATCGAGGCGGTGGGCACACTGTGTTATCGGGGTGCAGATAAGGGGGAGGGGGAAAGCTGGCTGTCTCTCTATTCTGCCGGTTTATAGCCAGTCAATAAGCACCTTCCCCTCCCCCTCCCCCTCTCCGCTTCATTGCCAGGAGTCATGTGTTGCGCGAAGGAGACGGAGCGAAGGCGTAGCGAAAAGGGGGGAGGGGGGGTGGTGCCGGGCGTGGTAAACATTTTATGTGCATTTTATTGAGCCACCCATTACGCAAAGCTGGCCGGGGGGGAGGGGAGGGGGCAGGCGACGGGGGTAAGGAGGTAGCCCAGGTACAGACTCGTCAAAACAATGGCTCGACTAGGACGTACGGAGCGTGGCGTGTATACACAGCGAATCCACGAGCCCCTCCCACCCCCTCCCCCCTTCCCCCTCCCCCTCCCCCCGCGCGGCCTTGCGCTTCGCCCGCTTCGCGTCGCTCACGTCGGACTCATTTCAGGCTTATTTTTCGCCGTCCGCTCGCTTGGCGCGCTTGGCGCAAGACGCTTGCACGCGGCTACGTGCGCGGCCTGCGAAACCCAAACGGTGACGCGAGCGCCGAAAGATTGAACTGTTCTCTTCGCGGCGGCCGCTCCCGGGCCATCCACACTCAATGTTTTTGTACAAATTTTGTACCATACATCGCAGTTTTTTGTGCACACGAACTTTTCGCACAAATTTATACGCGATTTCGTACAAAAATGGGGGAATATGTGCAGTTTTTCGTATAAAAAACTGCATGAAAAGTTCGTGTGTACCTGTGACGTCTCGCACAAAATTTTACGCAACAAATAGTGTGTACTCGTCACAAAATCTGCACAAGCAAAACTACAGTCGAATCAGGCAGATATAGAGTCAGCTTTGGCTATGCGGTGGCACGTGGGTGGTGACTCTACTCACCAGTAAAACCAAGGAGAAACAACTGAAAAAAATGTGCTCTCTGAAATTAATAGACAATCTTGAATTCTAGTAAAATTAATTCTGAATTTATAGTCGAAATCAAAGAAATTCTTCAGAAACCAGCGACATTGACACCGAAAATCATATGGAACTTTGCCTGCTATGCAATTCATCAAATAAATTCATTCAAAAGTTCATGTAGAATTCAAACATTTTTGCACTGAAATTCAAAATTATAGCCCCTTGGGCAAAACTTAAGTGTAATAATAGGTACTTTTTGTTTCAAATTTGCTTTGTTCACGCTTGAAATGAAGCATAAGAGACTGAGATTGCGCTCTTCTTATCTATATGAATAGGGGAATGTCTTCTTCTTCTCCACCAGTGATCCGTCTCTCTCGCACCCCCGCCGGCGGCCCGTAATAACGAGTGACCTGCGTCTTTTCGTGTAGGTCGATGTCTAGTGCCTGGGGGCGTAGCGTGGCGTGGCGTGGCGTGGCGTGGCGCGTCGCTGCGTCGCTGCAGGAATCCTGGGGCTTATTATGTCAGCGGGAACACGGCGCGCGGCCCTCGGCCTAACGACAGGCCCCGGTCTTTTTTCTTTTTCGCGATTGTTACTTTGAGTGTCGTTGATGCGGTGCCGTCGTTAGGCCCTGCGCTGCGCTGCGCCTCGGGCAGTGCCGGGCTGCAGACTGATTCCGAGAGTCGTTTTCGTCGCTCTCTCTCTCTCTCTCTCTCTCTCTCTCTCTCTCCCTATAAGGGATGCTCCTCGAGTGCGGGAGAGACGGAGCGACAAAAACGACTCCCGGAACCAGTTTGCCGGCGACGACGGGACGAGTTCAAGTACAGAAAAAAGAAACAGGGCGGGGATTGTCCCGCGTGCGTTTGCACAGAGCTTCCGGCGGGCGGGGAAAAAAAGGTTCTTCCCGGTTTGCTTCACGATAAACCGTGTCAACTTCATACATCGTTTGGCTGATTGCTAATTAGTTTTTTCCCTGGCGGAAGTAATTGGTGGATTATCTCTGTAGACGCGGCCTCGGTGCGCCCATTTATTTCGTTTATTTCATTTCTCTGTTTTCTTTTCCAGCCTCCGCCGCTGCTGCAGAGGCGCCGGACCTCCCGCCTCCCTCGCCAGGCCTCCAGCCCGCCCCCGCCGCCCCCACCGCCCCCGGCGCCGCCCCCGGCCGGGCGGACCGCTCCCCGAGGTCGTCCCCGCGGTCGTCGGCGTCGTCCAGGTCGCGCGCGGCCGGCTCGGCGCTCGCCCTCTCCAACGGGCCGCCGACCCTCGGCGACGACTACCTCGCCGCGCCGCCGCAGCCGCCGTCCAGGAAGAAGCGCTCCTTCTTCGGCAGGACCCTCCAGCCGGGCTCGGCGCCCCCGAGTCCCCGGCCGAGCCCCAAGCCCAGCCCCAAGCCCAGCCCCAAGCCCAGTCCGAGGCCCAGCCCCAGGCCCAGCCCCAAGCCTCTTCGCGGTCTCGGCCTCGGCCTCAGCTGGCCGGGCAGCGCGTCGGCGCAGACCTCCGCCCCGGCCACCGGCACGGCCTCCACCATGGCGGGCAGCGACCTCACGCTGCGCGAGCTCACGCACCCGCAGTACAACGAGCCCCTGCAGAAGCACAACAGCGTCACCTTCCGCCTCGTCCGAACAGGTAGGCCACCCGCCCCGCCCTGCCAGTTGCAGCAACCACACTGCCAAGCTTTCCGGACTTTGGTTCGGGAAATATACGGAAAATAGCGACACCCCCCAGCAAAAGTCTGCTATCTGTGCGAGGCTAAAACATAAGCCGCTATCTGCGTGTGAACGATTTCTAAAGCCGCCATCTGCGCCGGACCAAAATAAAAGCCGCTATCTGCTTTTCCCACCTCGCGACTTTGACTCTATAGTTTAAGAACTAATACAGACATCGCTTCAAACTTTTACCTGTTGTACTAAAGTTTGTCAGAGTAACTTTGCCAGGGCCCAGAAACATTGTCCGAATGGTTAATTAGTAATTTGCTATGTTTATGTCAACCCTAACCTATACGGAAAGTTGGTTAGCGGCTTTTATTTTGGTCCGGCGCAGATGGCGGCTTTAGAATCGTTCGCACGCAGATAGCGGCTTATGTTTTAGCCTCGCACAGATAGCAGACTTTTGCTGGGGGGTGTCGATAGGGTCTTTTTGAGCTGGGTTGTCCCTGCTTCCCATTAGGATTGCATGTAAACTGTAGAAAACATGTACGGAAGCTCCGTAGTTCGCAAGGTGAGGACGCTCCAGGTAAATAATTGACCGGGGACGTCACTTACTTATTCTGCACCCTTTTCTGCCAGTGGAGTGGGCCAAAATCCTCACGACGTGCTGCTGTGGGCCACGTACGGCGCAGGCGGCCTTAATTCTTGTCCAGTTTCCAGGTTTAAAGTCGCTAAGCAGGACTCGAACCGAGCGTGTGACCCCACCAATGGATTCCTCGTTCGGAGAGCAATCCACTGGTGGGGTCACACGTTCGGTTCGAGTCCCATTTAGCGACTCTGGAGCTAAAAACGCGTCTAAAGTTTCGGCCTCCGCCACCGCGTGCTCCAGGGGCCGCCTGCGAACTCACGCTTAGGCAACGCGGGTGCCTCCCTGCTCGGCGGGCCTGCCTAGCCGCTGGACTGCAGGCGCTCTGCACCGCTCGGCGCCGCTCGGCGCGCAGCTGATGCCACAGGCAGACTCGTCGCTTTTGTCTCTGTCGCACTTCAGGGACGTCCCAATGGGGTGCGAGAGAGACAGAGCGACGGAACGACCGGCGGGGTGCCGCGTGTTGCCTACACCCTGGCTGGCTGGCAGGCGCCACGTCCCGTTTGAACTCCTTGGCACTCCCTCACTGTAAGCGGTTCCTCCTCGCCGCCCATTTTTCTCTCTTTTGCATAATGTGCCCCCCTCCTCCCCCGGGCCCCCTGCCGGCTTTGTGGGCCGCGGCACTGTAAGTGCGGCTGGCGTGGGAGCGGCGCTGGAAGTGTGGCCGACCCGCCAGCCAGGTGCCTCAGACCGGAAGTCCCGCCGCCCCGCACGGTGTCAGCGCCGTGTTTTGAATCTCTTGGAAATTCCCGCCACGCGTGCCCCCCCCCCCCACCGCGGCACGTTCCGATGGATCAACTTGTCACGCGGCCGGCACGGCCCAAGGCACGCGGCCGAGTGTTTTGTAGGCAGGTAAGGGCACGCGCGTGGCATCCGTCAAGCCCCGCCCCGCGTCTCGCCTGCCAGTGGCGTGCCGGTCGCGTGGCGGCAAGGGGGAGGGTCGCACAGTGGGCCAGAAGACCGGTGCACAGTGGGCTGAAATCCGTAAAAACGACATTTAATACCATTTTTTCAAAATCATTTCTTGGATTGGCTGTGTGTGAGTTAATGTTCAGAAAGGTCCACTCTTGAAGAAAATGGACATGCCAGCCCAAAAACCTAGCCGTATCACAGTGAAAACTACCCGTGAAAACTTGGTTTTTTACGGTTACCGAGCTAGTGCCGCGGAGCACAAAAATTGCACAGTCCCCAAACCCCTTTCCGACCAGCCAGGGCAATTTTTTTATCCCGGTTTTCGGCAGAATCTATTGTTTGGGTATGCAACTCGAGATGAAGACAGAATGTGGACTCATTTTGGCCTTGGTGGCGTGAGAAGACACATATTTATAAATTTAGGTAAATATGCGAATTTTCATTTATTCCCAATATTCAATTTGAGTTTCAAAGCGACTCCTTCGTGTCCCGAAAGAGATCTATACGCCAAAATGTTCCTTGGACCTTCCTCTACAAGATCCAAATTCTATCAAAGGCTCATCGAGGCTCCTCTCGGATTGCGACGCGTCGAAAGCTAGCTCTGTTCGTCATTTCGCCGCGCCGCCGCAACGACAGGTGGCGCTGTTGACGCTGCTGCTTGCGCGCGCCACTGCCACCGCGTCGCCGCAAAAATCAGGAAGTAACGCGCGCATATCTCTGCAAGTTTCTAGGGTATAACATTTGCATGCAGTGACTGGACTGGACACTGGACAGGTATGTTTGAGTGTTTACGTGAGACATATCCGTGCGTACTCGCTCTGCCATCGCATCAGACAAGTTTCATTAGACAAGTTTAAACTTTCTGTGCAGTGCTGTGGTTGAGTTTATCTTGGTGTGTCTAGCGATGGCATGTGTAACCCACTGTAAACACCTAAAAGTTTGTCTGAAAACGGCAAAAAGGTTAGAAAACACGAAGTTAGAAACACGGACTTTGAAAAAAAATTTCAGGCTGTTACGGTTGTTACGGATATTACGCATGTTACGCAGGAGTTTGGGGGTGAGGGTGGAGACTTGTGGGGATTCTATTAGCCTTGCACTTCCTGTTCGACAAATTTTACATAGGATGTTACTGTTTTGTAGGGTAGCTAGGACATGACCCAAGTTTCTCGCCTGGAGCTGTACCAAATTACTTTTGTTGTTATTATTTACTGTTTTGTTGATTTCATTTTGTTTTTATTTTTTTCCTTGCGATGAACTTATTTTGACTTGTCCTTGGCTACCAAGTTGATAATGTGGTGTTAAAATAAATTTATGAACACTTTTTGGTCTTATTTGATGAAACCCGTCCTCTGAAAATTTAGACACATAGTCAGATCGATAGAGCGGCTCAAGACGAATCGATTGGTACTAGTTTGACTGCTGTAGCACAATCCGTTCGGCCACAGTCGAATTAAATGTCACATTTCGCTCCCTCAGCCCACTGTGGCGGTGGAGGCGGCCAAAGTCCCAGACGCGTTTTGAGCTCCAGAGTCGCTAAATGGGACTCGAACTGAACGTGTGACCCCACCGATGGATTCCTCGTTCGGAGAGCAACCCATTGGTGGGGACACACGTTGGGTTCGGGTCCTGTTTAGCGACTCTGGAGCTCAAAACGCGTCTAGAGGTTTGGCCTTGGTCGCTGGCGCCGGTCCTCTGGCACACTGTGGGTCGGGCCCTTTTTTCGAAGAGAGGCGACCAAGTGGGTCTCGGTTTCGGTCCACTGGAAGGCTGAGAGGTCTCGTACGACGGAGTGCTCAAAATTAAGTCAGCCCATCTTGCAATAAAAAGTTCCATGAAAGTTGCGGAACTGCGTAATTCTTACTTGCGAGTGGGTTTCTCTGTACAAACAAACACAATCAATTGCAAAGAAATTCCAGCACACTCGTCCTCTCAGTTCGTCTGACGGCAGTGGAGTGCGCTTACAGTGCAGTGCGCTTACAGTGCACGGCATGAGGATGGCGGTGGGGCGAAACTCTGCCAGTCTGTTGGCCAGCGCGCTGGCTGCATCCGAACAGCCGTTCCGTCTCTCTCGCAGCGTGGCTTGACGCCCCATGCGTGCGAGAGAGACAGAGCGATGGAAGAAATGCAAACACGACGGACTGGACTCCAGCCGCTGTGGTTGTGGCGAAAGCGGGAACCACAAGGGCATCGTAACTGCGCGACCGGGGTGGCCGACTTACTCGACTTGTGTCCAGCCGAAGTATTTTTTCGCGTTGTTTGTTTCCGAGTGTAGTGGCCCGGCGCACAGTGGGCCAGAAGACCGGTGGAGGCGGCCAAAACTCTAGACGCGTTTTGGGCTCCAGAGTCGCTAAATGGGACTCGAACCGAACGTGTGACCCCACCAATGGATTCCTCGTTCGGAGAGCAATCCACAGTGGTTTAAAATGCGATTTTCGGGGGAATAAGTCCTAGCAAGCGTCCCGTGCGACCAAATGCTACCAGAATTGAACTGAATCATCTGTAGGCAATAGGCAAAGACCAGTTCAAAGGAAAAAGTGGTCCGATAAAAATTGGATTTATAATGCTAAAATAATGAGAAAAAAAGCAAAATTAGAAGAAAAATGACAGAATTGACAAAAAGTGCAAAACTAAAAGTGCTCAAAATACTTAGTTTTAACTTCTAAGCCGCATTAAACCATTTTGTTACTAAGAAAAACAAAATATTTGAAAAGAAAAACAATTGCACTGATGTTTTTTTTTTCATTTTGAATGGTGCACACCAGAAGCGATTATCCCCAAAACTAATCAATTTTGCACGTTTTTGTGGTGTTGGTCCCCTTGCGTTTCGTGTTGCGGACGAGTGCGGAAAAGTTATCATCGGGGCATCTTAATATACATGTAAGGGAAGCGCCTCGCACCAATAACTCCGCCCATCGCGCCCCATCGATGTCCGAAACTCCAAAAGTGTGTTTTTTAATGTGTTGAACGCATTTGTAGCAAAAACCCGCCACCGTGAGCCAAACCGCGAACGAAATGTTGCGCTGTGTGCTGCTTTCCTTTGATTAATGATGAAACGAAAAGAAAAACACGCAAACATACCAGTATCATCGCCCTCGTTGGAAAAATAAGGAACGAAACATCTAAGAAAATTAGGTGAATTTGATCAAAATACAAAAGACTAAAATCAAACCCTTCCCAGTGGCTCCCAGCGTCATATAAAAATCTATAAACGTCATTTTATATTGTATTGGAGTATTATAGTTCGTTTCCACCCCCCAGAATGCCCCCCGCGACACTTTTGAAAAATCGCTTTATTCCCCCTAAAACAGGATTTTAAACCACTGTGCAATCCATTGGTGGGGTCACACGTTCGGTTCGAGTCCCGCGCTTAGCGACTCTGGAGCTCAAAACGCGTCCAGAGTTTTGGCCGCCTCCACCGGTCT